AGCAAGCTCAGATCTCCCATGGAAACCTTTGTGGGTCTTCACACTGCATCAATAAATTATTCACCAAAATGGGATCTGAATATCCTATCTGTTCCCTCTAATACTCAGGGAAAATCATGAAAGAGTACAAAGGGAGATTGGAGCTGGAGGCTAGGGGAAATGTGGACAAAACAACAAATTCTGGACGTGACAAGACCGTGCCATCATTAATTCACAACAGTTGGTTCTGCACAAGATCAGGTCATTCAACATTCTGACACAGAGCAAGGACATTCTCATGCACTCTCCCACACTAGCTGAGTAGATAGAGATAGTTGATGACTGCTGGAGTGAGAGTCATGTTTCTTTAAGGTTATGCCCTCTTTTCAGTCAACCATCAGCCACAGTATGTTCCTATACCCAAAAATATACAGGCAAACTAAGTGGAACATGATGTACTATCAAAACTAGAAAAAAGAGAGGACATAAAGCCATGAACGGTCATAAGGTGAAGTGTTGATTGGTGGCATTGTGGTGAATATGATAAAAATACATTCTTTATATGTCTGAAATTTTTAAAAAATGGAATTAAAATTCCATAATAGGAAATAGCATCACAAAATAGTAATGTAATGGGTGACATATTTTGGAGAACATTTCATAAGGATGGAGAATATGAAGGAAGAAATGATTGTTTGTGAATCCAAATGATGTATTTAAAAAGCATTGAGAATAGGGAAAATAACACTCATATAAAATAAAATAGGAAGTTATATTCATTGTGGAAGCCTTGTGGCTTTCTTGTGTACTTAAACTTCCGTGGTTACTTGCCGATAGAAACAGTGGACTTTGAATAAGTAATTATTACATTAGATATATAGGAGTGTGTAGATCACTATTTATTATTTTAAAAACAAAATAAAACATTTTATTACAGTTGCCAAAATACCATCATCATAATCATTTGAATATGTTTTTGTCTTCATTGTGGTATCAGAAAACTCTGAAGAGCAAGTGTTTTGTAGTCATACAAACACCATGCCTACAGGATTCAAGATGCTTTCCATAACTTTTGACATGAAATGTTCTTTCCATATAATACCGTTGTTAGAGATGGAAAATACTAGGTAATATATGAACATCCACTATTCATGAAGACTAGCTAATATGAATGTGTATGTTTAAAAATAAGTAGACTCATCATCGCTAGTAGCATATCCACAATAATCTACAGCAAAATTCAAAGGTTTTGCTCAAAAAAAAAAAAAAGCCCACTACTGAATGAATACATTATTCAAACACGTCTGTAGAATGAAGAATACTGGGAAATTTCTGGTTAAAAGAATGTGATTCCAAGGTTAACTCTTTTTCTAAATGAAATAGATTGAAGGCAGAAAGTAAGGCATTGCACCAACATTGAAAGAGAGGTGAATGTTGCACTTAGAAAATATTGATGATTTTTGATAACCCACATTTCATTATACAATATTAATAAAAAGATGCTAAAATAATACATTTTAAGGATATAGAAGACTTACTGTTTTTAAAAAGCATTTTTCTAATGCACATTTTGAAAATAAAACCATCATTATGCATTTACAAAATTAATGCCAGTTATTATTTAACAAATGTTTTTAATAACCCATCTAGAACCCTTTTGTTGTAGTAACAAGTAACATTATTAGTGCAATCAGACATGAGAAATGAAAAGGAATATATCAGATGTTCAAGAGTCTGATTAGTCATAAAATAATTGAAATGAGTATGATTGCTATGGAGTTGAGAGTATGTTCAGACAATGATGAAATACAATGTGTAGAATTACCACTTCTCTAAATTGAGAATGGAGAAGATTGTTTAAAAGACAGGAGAATTTGGATGACACCAGTGTGATGTGTAAGTCATTAAGGACAGATACATTTCAGTTTCTTTCAGTTTCACTTTAGGTTCCAATCAGTATCTATCACTCATCAATAGCATCAAGTATAAAGTGTGAAGATACGCCGGGCGGTGGTGGCGCACGCCTTTAATCCCAGCACTCGGGAGGCAGAGCCAGGCGGATCTCTGTGAGTTCGAGGCCAGCCTGGACTACCAAGTGAGTCCCAGGAAAGGCGCAAAGCTACACAGAGAAACCCTGTCTCGAAAAACGGAAAAAAAAAATAAATAAATAAAGTGTGAAGATGGCAGTCAGGGATGCAGTTGTTGAGTATTCCCAGGAAAATACTGAACCAGGAAGCTAATTAAGTACTACACTAGGATGAAGCAAATAGGAAGGCTTGTCCTCAAGAGAATTATGTCCCAACAGTCCCAGTTGAAAATAAATAATGATCCACTTTGTTCTGGTATTGCAAGTAAAGATGGAAAGAACCTCTGGGCTCAGGTAGGTTTAGGGGTGGTTATGTGCAAAAGTAAAAGAAAATAACGTTGTAATTTATTTGAAACATGAGCAATACAATTGATGAATGAATTAGTACATGGCTAAATCAACTTATATAGTTACATGAATTCTGCCACCTAATGCTAAGAGACATATATTATTAAATAATTGAGAATTTGAGTGCCTTCATTTACTTGGATATGGCTGGTAGGGTTGTATGATACTTTTACATTTATTATGGCACATTTTATTAGTATACAATTCCTTTTTAAATACTACACACTCATGATGTAGCATGGGAAACTTATTAATTTCTTCTAACTTCATCTAAGTAATAATATATGGTGTACAAATTGGATAGAAATATATAACAACGTGTGTCCATATAACATAAACCACAATATTTTGGGATTATACACCACAGTCCACATTTACCTTTTCATATAACTACAAATAAACTCAAAACACCTTATCATGTGAACACACAAATTCCCATGTTAGACAGGAAACAGGCAATGTAACAAACCTTTCTTTTTGCACTAATTTCCAGTGAAATAAATAATCAATCTGTGCTCCAAAATGTGGTATTAACTACACTCTGTTATTTCAATTCTTTTTGTGGGTTCTTAAGTCTTCTGAAGATTCATAAGTTGGGCCCAGGAAAACAAAACAAAACAAAACAAAAAAACCAACACAAACAAACAAACAAACAGGAAAAAAAGCAGCAGTTAAGAAATTGTGAACCAATGAAGAGTAGTGGTCAATCTTTTAAATAAATAATTTTTCATTTTTAGTAAATGCAATCAAACTACTAATAGTGCCCGAACAACTTGCATTTATTATCTGAGAAGGTGGCAGTATTTCGTAGTTAAGTTAAGCAAACAATATAGCAAATTCAGTTAGTGTATTGAAGGATAGGAAATCTGATATTATTGATTAAAAGAATAAGAAGCTCTGTGTGGCTTTTCAGTTAATTGGTGTTTTCTTTCTATTATATTGCCCTGGATGAGTTTCTATATTAATCAAATACATTTACTGATAATGTATAGCAGAGACTTAGATAAGTAAAGAAAATAATGAATTGCATCTACATTGGTAACTCCATGCCAAAAGGACTCAGTATAGAAAAAGTAGTTTCATACATCAATGTACATGAATAAGAATTCCCTGGCATACATTTATGAAAACAAATATAAATGCAAGAAACAGAAGATGTGTTCAACAGAAGCCCTAATGCCTTTAGGCATTATCAGGTTATTTGAAACCAATGATGCAAAGGTATTTTTTTTTAAGTCAAACGTTATGTATTTCTTTCATTTTAAAACAGCCTACGGCAAGCCCCGCATGTTAGACATTTACCACCAAGGCAAAAAGTAGAAGTGTGACAATATTCTGACAATTCAGGCAAGCCCTCCACTTCTATTTAGGCTATAGAAAATACCACTGGGAAAGAGAATGATAAATGTAAACATGCTTTATTAAATAACAGTATGTAATTATCTATTTATGATTTATATTACATCTTTGACTTAGTAAAGAAAATAAGATACCATTAATGATTCTAAAGTTTGACTGGAAGTAGTATATGTTGTAAATTCACATTAATGCAACAGGAGAATTGAGCTCTTGTTTCTAAGTGTTTGAAGTAAAGTCCATGTGAAGTAGAATTTGAAGAAAGTATTTAAAGATATAGTACAAAATCCTCTAGAGTTGACATTGAAAATCAAAGTGGGAAGCTGATAGAGAAGGGCTTCAATCTGTATTTTCACAACATTATTTTTACTTACGTTTAGAGTTATGTTCATACAGTTGTAATCAAACATTTGGTAGACTTAATGCAGAGGCATTTTCTAACACTAGCTTTATCACTTTCATTTGTAAGGACTTAATATTCTTTTTTTTTTCTTTTTTAAGATTTATTTATTTTATGTATATGGTGTTATATCTGCATGCCAGAAGAGGGCATCAGATCCCATTATAGATGACTGTAAGTCACCATGTGGTTGCTGGGAATTGAACTCAGGGCCTCGGGAAGAGCTGCCAATGCTCTTAACTGCTGAGCCATCTCTCCAGCCCTTAATATTCTTAATATTTGGAGTCTGATGTGTTGCCCTTCACATCTCAAAAGCAACGAGCGGTGACAAGTACCAGATGTTCCAATGAAATAGGTGTCAGTAAGAAAATGTGGCAAAATCAAACCATAGCAATTTCCATGGATTTGTTTGTATTTGATGCTATGATGAGAGGGTAAACTATGATTCTTTATTAATATGGTGAATGGGATCCTTTCCTCAATTTTATGGAATGTTTAGTCTTTCATTACTGGATCTCCTACTCAGTTCTGTTGTTTTTCTCAGATGAGTTGTATTCTGATAACTTATTTTCAGGTTTTCAATAGTATAGCCTTAGGATGAGCAAGAAAAAATTCATGTCAGGAACTATTTATTAATTTATATTAAAAATTATTAACTGCCCACTTCAAATATTTGAGGGATTTTTTTGGTGATCATGCCACTTTAAGAGTGATTTCTGTCTGATTTTAGGGATACACAGAATATTTTCTACATAATGAAATTAGAGTCTCAAAATTGAATACAGTTTTCTTGACTAGATAAATTAAATCCCAGTCATCCTATTCTTTGAATGCTTTTTGAACCATTTAGGCAAAGAACAAAGAAGAATGGATGAAGGAAACTGCTCCTCAATCACTCAGTTTATTCTATTGGGAATTACTAATAACCCTGTCATAGAAGTGGTTCTATTCATTGTATTTCTTCTCATCTACCTCATTATTCTTGTGACAAATATTGGAATGATTGTTTTGATCAGAATGGATCCCCAGCTTCACACACCAATGTACTTCTTTCTTAGCCACCTCTCTTTCTCTGACCTCTGCTATTCAACTGCAGTTGGACCAAAGATGCTGCTGGACCTAATGGACAAACACAAATCTATATCTTTCATTGGCTGTGCCTTGCAGTTTTTCTTCGCCTGTATCTTTATAGATGCTGAGTGCATGCTGTTGGTGGTGATGGCCTTTGATCGGTACAAGGCCATCAGCAATCCCCTTATGTATGTAGTAGACATGTCTAGTAGGGTTTGTTACCAACTCCTGGCTGGAGTTTACCTACTAGGAATAATAGATACTGTTATGCATACTATAATGACATTTGGATTATGTTTCTGTAGGTCAAATGAGATTAATCATTTCATCTGTGATATCCCTCCTATCCTGTTACTATCTTGTTCAGATACACAGGTCAATGAATTAGCAATGTTTATATTTTCTGGATTTATTGAACTGAGCACCATTTCTGGACTTCTTGTCTCCTACTGTTACATCATCTCCTCTGTCATGAAGATCTGTTCTGATGAAGGGAGATTCAAAGCTTTCTCTACTTGTGCCTCTCACCTGACTGCAGTTGCGATTTTTCAGGGAACTCTTCTCTTTATGTATTTTCGGCCAAGTTCTTCCTACTCCCTAGATCAAGATAAAATGGTTTCACTGTTTTACACCCTGGTAATTCCTATGTTAAACCCTCTGATTTACAGCATGAGGAATAAGGATGTGAAAGAAGCCCTATACAAACTGAGAAATAAAAGGTGGTTTAAATAATTGTATTATGTGTGTATATATGTCTAAGTTATAGTAGTAATTTGTACAAAATTATATTGCATGAATCATAGGAAAGTTGGGTCACTTAATTTAACTGATTAAAACACATATTTTCTCTTAATTTTAGAGATAAGATAATGTGGATATACTAATGATCCATGTTTCATTATTTCTCTTTAATTTGTATGTTGTACATGTTTGGAGAAATTTTCCTGGTTATTTCAGTTGTAAAAATAATTATATTTAGCCTTTTATTCAATTTTAATCATATTAGGCTTTTTGAGTTTTATTGGTTAGCTTTTAATATTTTATTTCTTCATTTTGAAATACATAGGAACCTTTAGGTTGTTTCAAATTAATCTTTTATTCTAGTGGAAGATGTAGGCATTAACTATACCCTCAGAGCAATTGTAATTTTTAGGAAAGAATTAAATTTTATTTTATCCTGGACTACAAAGGATTTTGATCATAGTCTAGAACAATGTGTAGCATAAAATGTTTCTTGGATGAAATTGAGGTCCCTTAAATATAAAACATATATATATATATATATATATATATATATATATATATATATATATACACACACACACACATGTATGAGGAGGAAAGGGATTTCATCATAAGGCTTGAAATTATATGGCTGTTTAGACATACCAGTGCAAATCAGTTGGAAAATAAACAAATGTAACTAGACTAAATTAGGAAGAGCAATGAAAGGAGCCAAGGTTAGGCATGTGTATGTACAGGGATCCTCAGTTTTCTAATCTGTGATTTAGTGCAATGTTGTTCCTTTCCTTATTTGCCATTTTAAGTATTTCATAATGATATTTTGTTATACAAAAATAATTTTCTCCTATTCTCTTTTCCTCATCAATTCTATTCTTAAAATTATACCATTAAATTGTTGTGAAAATCACTTTCTTTTAATAGTATCCCAAAATTGAGTATGAGCATTTTTTGCTGAAGTACTGAATATTTCTACTCTATAATAAATTTGTATTATCTTTTACAGATAAAACAGAAAATAATTACATAATGTGACAAAAACATAATAATTTGAGCAGATATTTGGCATTGATAAAGGAATATTAACTGCATTAACAAAACATTAGATATACAGAAAGAACATCAATTTAACACATAATAGCTTGAGATGCTAGTGTAGTGGATCTACCAAAATGTAGGTATTATTTTCATGAAAAAGAAAAGTAAATACACATGTATTTTATTGAGTTCTTTACTTATTGTCCATCTCTTCTATAATAATTTTTCTGATGTTTACAGAATGAACAAGTTAATTTAAAATGCATAGATATCATCTCTATATTTGGCATAACACATATCACAAGGGTATATTATTAACTGTTCCCTTCAATTATAAATGTTAAGGAAATGGTGTTGATACAAATGTGAAGTGCTCCAGTGTATAAGACTATTTCAAAATTCAACACATTGTGAATCTCCTTTTATTATGACCCATGGCAAAAAAAAAGTAGTAATTTAGGACTATATATCATTTGTAAATATCTATGCTAAATTTTGCTATTAATGAAATGCTTTAGGGTTTTCCACCAACATCCCATTTTCTATTAATTTGTAATGTATTAAAAGTGGTGACTTGTGAGCAAAGGTATGGTTTTTCTATACACTGAGTTTCTAATAATTGAAGCAATAATGTGAGGTTTTAGGTACTTTTGGAAAAGATAAATTCATAAGAACAGAATATTCAGGAATGAATTAGTGAATACTGGAGATATTTGTAGCTCATTATTCTAGGGGACACCAGTAAAATTAAATTGTCAGTGAAATGAAAATTTAGTTTTTTTCAAGAAGTAAGATCTGCCAGTGCCATGATGTGACATAACAAACTCATAACTGAGCTATGGCAATTGTATCTGATTGTATCTCTTCTCACTCTTTATATATATATTTTATTTTTTTTAATTTTACAATACTATTCAGTTTTACATAATAACCACAGATTCCCTTGTTCTCTCCCTTCCTGCCCCCCTCCCCTTCCCCCCAGCACACCCTCCATTCCCACCTCTTCCAGATCAAGGTCTCCCCCGAGGACTGGGATCCACATTATAGACTCAGTCCAGGCAGGTCCAGTCCCCTCCTCCCAGATTGAGCCAAGTGTCCCTGCATAAGTCCCA